GAGCCCCGAACCACAGTTTGAATGCTGATGCTGAGGCTGAGGCTGAGTCGGGCAAGCTGGGGCTGAGGCTGAGGCTGAGGCTGAGGCTGAGGCTGAGGCAAGTTGAAGGATCGATTAGACTAATTAGAGGCAGATTGCAAGAGGCAAAAACTGACCGACGGTCCGACGGTCAGTTTTTGCCTCCTGCAGACGCTGAGGCAGGCTGACGCTGAGGCAGCTGAGGCAGGCAGGATGATGCTGAGGCAGGCTGAGGCTGTCTTTGAGGCTGAGGCTGATGCAGGCTGAGGCTGAGGCAGGCTGAAGGGGAGGAGGAGGCTGAGGATGGACGAACGAACGAACCACCACTGCGGACAGCTGTCCGGGCCTACGCAAGACCTGGTGGGCGAGGCCGTAGCCTCGGGATTCAGGACGGGGAGGATGTGAAGCGGCTAGAGATGAGGAGGATGAAAAAGAGGGCCTCGCGCCACCACCCTGGAGGAAGGCGGCCCTCCGGCACAGACCGCGGCGCGCGAGGTGCGGCGATCTTATATCTTCGCGCCCGTCGCGGTGACCGACCCGAAACACGACGGCGACGACGACGACGACGAGGAGTAGGGAGGGGCAGAAGGAGGGGCAAGAGGCAGAGGAGCAGCAGCAGCACGACTCGGGCGACGGCGACGGCGACGGCGACGACGACGACGATCGCAACGACGACGACGACGACGACGACGACGACGACGGCGGCGACGACGACGACGACGACGACGATCGACCGACCGCCGACCGACCGACCGACCGTCGACGACGACGACGACTACGAAAGCGACGACGACGACGCCGACAACGACTCGACGACGACGGCGGCGGCGGCGGCGGCCGCGGCGGCGGTGGCGCCCGACGCCCGTGCCGTCGGCCCATCGGCGACGAGACGAGCACGACTGAGCACTGAGCACGACGCCGCCGCCCGTGGCCCGCGCCGCCGCCGCCGCCGCCGCCGCCGTCGTCGTCGTCGTCGTCGTCGTCGTGGTCGTCGTCGTGTTCGTCGTCGTCGTCGTCGTCGTCGTCGTCATCGTAGTCGTCGTCGTCGTCTAGTCGTCTAGCTAAGTCGTCGTCGTCGTCGTCGTCGCCGTCGTCGTCGTCGTCGTAGTCGGCGTCGCGGCGGCGGCGGCGGCGTCGGCGTCGGCGTTCGTCCGTGGCGTCGGCGTCGGCGTCGGCGTCGTCGTCGTCGTCGTGACCGTCGTCGTCGTCGTCGGACCGCCGCGAGCGAGGCGGGGGCGCCGGCGGGGGGGGGTGGGAGGATTTTTCCAGACCCCGCCCCTGGAGTGGCGATTCGCGTGCACGTCACCGTAGCGTGCGCCTAGGCGGCACCCCTGCCGCCAAACGCACCAGGTCCGCGTCACAGACTGTGACCGCCACGCACTGTGACGGTCACAGTGTGTGGCTGAGGCTGGGGTTAGCCGCGGCTACGGCGGATGGATGGCGGCGCATGTCCAAAATCATGCGGTGCCGTCATAATCATCATTATCATCATCATCATGGAGGGGGAGGGCGGTCCTTTTTCAAAATGGGGTCCCCGCCTTGGCGCCGCGTACATTCGTCATCAAAACTTGCAACAGTTACACGGATGGAAGGCGGGCCGTTTTCAAAATCGGGATGTCGCCGTGGCGCCGCAGGCATCAGTTACACGGATGGAGGGCGGGTGGTTTTCGAAATGGGGTTCTCACAGTGTCAGGCCCATTGGGCGCCTGTCAGGCCATGGGGCGGAAGGCGACAGCCCTCTCGAGCGATGAACGGAAGCTCCGGCGGCGCCCGCATCAGTGGGGCCAGCCGCTGCCGCTTGACCACAGCGGCGCGGCGGGCCCACGGCGGGTCCCCGGGCCTGCGCCCGAGCCACACAGTCGCCGTCGGCGCGGGCGTCGGCGTCGGCGTCGGCGTCGGCGCCGCGCGCGACGCTGGCCGATCACGAGCACGAGCACCGCGCGGCGGCGTCGGCGTCGGCGTCGGCGTCAGCGTCGGCGTCGGCGTCGGCGACGCGCCACCAGCGCCACCAGTGCCGCCAGGAGGAGGGCCAGCAGGGCCGCCGCGCGTCGACGCCGGCGGCGGCGGCGGCGGCGACGCCAGGACCATGAGGCAGGACGGAGTAGGGGCGATGGAGGGATGGGACTGGACGGCGTCCCGAGCTGAAATGCTTGCGCGCGGGGTGGGGAGTGGAGGAGTGAAGGAGAGGAGTGGAGGAGTGAAGGGGTCAACGGACCGTTGACCCCTTCACTCCTCCACTCCTCTCCTTCACGACGGCCCACGACGGCCCACGAGGGGGCCCACGAGGAGGGGGGAGGAGGGTCGCCGCCGATTTTCAGAGTTCCGAGGATGTCCCTAGCGACGCGACCACAGAAATCGGATCGGGCATGCATTCATCGCCTATGAGCGCTACTCCATCGGAGAGGTGCGAATTATAATACTCTGAGCGCTACTCCGCAGAGCTCTACTCTGAGCTCTACTCCATGGTTTCTGACACCGCGCGGATCGTTCCAACTTGAGCGATCTCCGCTACCGTCGGGCGTCGTCGTCGGCGTCGTCGGTCGTCGTCGGTCGTCGGGCGTCGTCGTCGTAGTCGGTCATCGTCGGTCGTCGGCCTCCTCCGTCGTCGGCGGCACGTTTGCGCCGCAGCCCGGAGGACGTTTTATTCTCGGCGGCCGAGGGTCCGAGGGTGCAACCTATGGCGCAACCAATACGAAGACGTTTTGTTCTCGGCGGCCGAGGGCGCAACCTATGGCACAAACAATCGGAGGACGTAGTATTCTCGGCGGCCGAGGGCGCAACCCGTCCGCGGGCGCCCGCTGTCCTCCGCCATCCGTCGTCACCTTCCAACCCTCCTACCCTCCACCCTACCCCCCTACCCTCCTACCCTCCGCCCCTCCTTGTCCTCGTCATCGTCGCCACCCTCCAACCCCCCTACCCTCCTAGAATCCTCCCACCCATCATCCTGCCTCTCCAGCGCGCGGGCCACGCCTCGTAGGGCGCGCCCGCGGCGTCGGCCAGCGCCGCGAGCGCCGGCGGCCCGTCAACGACGGGCTCGCCGAACGCGTTGAGCGCCGCCCGCGCGGCGCCGGCGCCGCCGCAGAGGGCGGCGAAAAGGCGGGCGGCCACAGCGGCCGAATTCATTTGGGCCGCTGCGGCGACGACGGCCGACGCCGCCGACGCCGCCGCCGCCGTCGCCGCCGTCGTCGTCGTCGTCGTCGTCGTCGTGTTCGTCGTCGTCGTTGTCGTCGTCGTCGGTTTCGTCGTCGGTCGGTCGGTCGGTCGGTCGGTCGGCGTCGTCGTCGTCGGCGTCGTCGTCGCCGCCGCCGTCGTCGTCGCCGCCGCCGTCGTTGTCGTCGTCGTCGTCGTCGTCGTCGTCGTGGCCGCGGGGGCCACCGCTGCGTCGACGACGACGCGACGACTACGCGGCGACGGCGACGGCCCCGACGGCTGCGACGACGACGACGACAACGGATCGACGGTGTAAGGGGGGGCGGTTTTCCGATCTTCTTTAAATGGGGACCACCAGGAAACGCCCCCCTACAACGCCAATGCTGGACCAACAACACCCAACGACGACGACGACGACGGCGGCGGCGGCGGCGACGATTCTGGGCTCAGACGTGACGGGGGGGGGGAGGAAGGGGGTGAGGAGAAGGGAGATCAAAAATACATACCTGGAGTTAGGTTATTCAACAAAATGCAACAAGCAAATCTGCGAAATCATGCAACAGGAAAACATCAACTAATTGAAAATGCCAAACTGGATTTGACTTTGTTCACTGACAACGAAAGCATGATGTGCGAATTTTGTAAATCTAGCGACCAGTGACAACGTCAGCTCGTCACACTAAAATCCTAAAACTAATGCAGTCCTGACGCAGTAAACTACAAAATGTGCATATGATTTCGCATACCAGTCAGCGAAACTACAACTCAAAACAGTCGAATCTAACAAAGTCGGCCGATAAGAAATGCAAAAACCAATGTCACAAACTATATAGACGTATGAGAATTGCCAAATCAAATTAGCACTATTGCGTTGCCAGGAGGAGGAGGAGGAGGAAGGGGAAGGCGGACGAGGAGGGTCACAAACCTACCAGAACAGCCGTCGGGAGGCGTCGCCGCGACGGCCTCCCGAAGCAAATCGTCCCCCCCTGATCCCCTCCTTTTGGACCTGTCTAATCTTCGCGTCGTTTGGGACAGGCCCGACCTCAGGGTGGGCAAGGCTCGGACCTCGCCGCCGCATGCCGCCGCATGGCGACGGTGCCGGCGGCGCCGGCGGCCACGGGCGGCGGCAGCCACGAGCGGCGGCGACCACTCCGCCGCCGGGCTGCGCCTGCCAGAGGCCAGCTCCGGCCGGGCCGCGGCACGGCAGTCTGCCGGGCGCGGCGAAAGAACAGCACACGCAGCACTGAAGGGGAACTGGGACACACAGATAAATAAACACAAATAGCCCGATTCCCCATATATTTATCATATTTTCTGTGTTTTTGTCTTCCCCCCCACTTCCCATATTTTCTGATATTTTCGGGGGAAGCGACGATTAATTGTGTCTGTGTGTTTCTTTCCCTCCTGAAGCACACACACACACACACACACACACGCACACACCCATGCCCACAGGGGGGTCGTCGGGAGGAGGGCCGGCCATGGGCCTGGGTGCGGGTTGTCGGGCCCTGGGGAACGATCCCGTTCCAACGGGGACCCCCGTGCGACGACACTCAGGTCGGGCATGCCCCCCCACAGGCGGAGTTTGGGTGAAAATTGGGAAATGCCCCAAAAAAACTCAAGCGTAGTCAAAAATAGTCCGAACATCGTCCCCAGCCTGATGTTCTACTATTTTTGAGTGCTCCTCCTGTCGAGGGACAGGCCCGACTTGGGACAGCACGCACCCACAGCCCCTCCGACCCCCCCTGTGCGTATGGGTGCGTGCTGGTGGTTCGCCAGGGTGCTCGGGCAGCGGGCGGGCGCCGCGCGCGCGCGCGCCGGCGGGGCCTCGCCTCTTGCTTCGCCCGCGACATCTCCCGCAGGCCCTTCTTGCAGGTTTCTGGCGGGGCACCCCTCCCAGGGACGGGAGGGGAGCAAGGTAGGGTGCCCCCAGGGGTCCCACCAGCCCTTTTAGAGTCGAAGAAGAGAGCACTACACAAACATCAACTTTTCGCGCTCCGCGCGGGTTTCTTGGATCCGCGCTGGACCCCCCTCCCCGGTGAGCGGAGCGCGCCAGGGGCGGCGCCGGAGGCGCCGCCGGGGGGGCCCAGGCGCGGATCCAAGAAATACGCGCGGAGCGCCCAAAGTTTAGGTTCATGTGGTTTTTTCCTCTTCGATGTAGGGCGTGAGTGCTGTAGAGCGCCTCCTTTTCCAAGGGCTCCCAACTTCGCGCTTCGCGCTGCGCGAAGCGCGAAGTGCAAATAACTTCGCGCTCTCGCGCCGCCTCCCAGGGGAGAAGAAGAGGATGGGGAGGAATCCGAGCCGAACCGCGAAGCGCGAAGCGCGAATAACATCGCGCCCTCGAGGGCGCCTTGTCTTCCAGCCCCCCCCGTCTTCCCCTTCGGGGAGGGGCCTTGCCCCCCCCCCCCTGGGCGTGGGCGGGCGGGTTCGCGACCCGTGGAGACGTCCAAGAAGGCCTCCGCGAGAGGGCACACAGCACTGCTGTGTTGTGCGCTCTGGGCATGTTTTTCTCAAGGAGCCCTGGGACACACAAATAAATACACACAAATATAAGGAATAGAAGGATCCCCCATATTTTCCCATAGATTCGGGATTTCTCGTCTTCCCGCCCAATTCCCATATTTCCCCATATTCTCTTGGGGTTCGACGATTCATTGTGTCTGTGTGTTTTTGTTCCCCTCTGGAGTTTTGGCCTCTTGGGGGGGGGGGGGAGACCGATGTATGAAGGGGCCCTGGGACACACAAGGAAACGGACGCAGGTAGCAAGATTCCCCATTGTTCCCCATGTTGTCGGGGTTATCGTCTCCCCCCCCACACTTCCCAGGTTCTCCCATATTGGAATCGACGATGAATTGTGTCTGTATCTGTGTTTTGCCCCCTTTCTGAATATAGTACCACCCCTGCTTCGATCGAACTCCTCCACGATGGCCCCAGGATGGCCCCCGAGGCTCCCACGAGTGCCCCACGAAGGCCCCAAGGGGCGCTCGGGAGGCCCAACGGGTCCCCCAAGAGGTTCCCAAGAGGCCCCCGGGAGACCCCCAAGAGGCCCAGAGAGGCTCCCCAGAAGCACCCCGGACGCTCCAAGAGGCCCCCAGGACCGCCCAGAGGCCCCCAAGATGCCCCAAGAGGCTCCAAGAAGCTCTCAGCAGAGATCCGAAGAGACTCCGAGCGGCATCCAAGAGGCCTCTGGCCATTCTGCTCGCCCCGCTCGTCCTCCTCCTCCGCCTCCTCCTCCTCCTCAGCCTCCATCTCCTCCTCCTCCATCTCCTCCTCCGCATGTTCCTCCTCCTCCCTCCTCCCGTTTCCCCCCCTCCTCCTCCCTGTTCTCCCTCCCCCCCTCCACCTCCTCCTCCGATTCCTCCTCCGTCCTCCCCCTCCGGGGTACGACGGCTTCCCCGGCCCGCTATTCCACTGCATGCTCATCCACATCTCCGATCAGGGCACCTCGCCTGGTGGAACGCCTCTGGATGGCTGGTGGGGTTACGCGGAGCGTCCGCATGTTCGACGCGCCCCCGTCCGCTGTTCCACACGCTGGCCTGCCGAGATTATCTCAGTATTCTGACTTCTGGGAATGCTGTCATATCTTTTCCAACATCCCCCCTCCTCCTCCTCCTCCTCCTCCTCCTCCTCCTCCTCCCCTCCTCCTCCTCCTCCTCCCTCCATCTCCCTCCTCCCCGATCCCCCTTCTCCCTCCTCCTCATCCTCCTCATCCTCCTCCTCCTCCTCCTCCTCCTCCTCCTCCTCCTCCTCCTCCTCCTCCCTCCTCCTCCTCTATCTCCTCCTCCCCCTCCCCCTCCTCCAACACCTCCTCCTCCTCCTCCTCCGCCTCCTCGCCCGGGAGGGCTGGCCAGGGTAGTTCTTCGACAAGTAGTTCGTTCCATCGTGGTTCCCATCGGGAGCGCAGTGCCGATCATTCAGTGAGAAGGGTGGATCCCGAAGCATCTCCCCAGACATGAGCATCGTTCGACAGATCCTTATTCCAACTGGCGCGACCTGGACCTAAATGGCCAATTGACCCCACTGGCTGTTCCCGTCGGGTCCCTTCGGGTCCCTTCGGGTCTCGAGGGGCCTATGCCCAAGCTGTGGTGGCCGGACGGGGGGGATGAGACACTGCGGCCAGGTAGGGCGAGGGATAGTAAACGATACTGAAGACAAGCGCCCATCCACCTGGCCGTCGTCGTCGTCGACCTCCGCCCCCCCCACCCAAGTGTCACATTCTGCCTGTTGCCTGGCCTGCCCGGGAGCCCACCGCTTCATCCCCCTTCCTGCATCCCGCCTCCGTACCCTGCGAGATTCCCATGCCATCTTGCTGGCTCTTGCGAATCGGCGCTCATCGGCGCTAGTCGACGCCAAATCGACGCGAACCGACGCAACATCAACGCTATCTCATCGATTGCAAGACGCGGATCAACGCCAGTGCGCTGCCAAGACGGCATCGCGAGTGCACACGAGCCTCCCACGACTTGCCGCCGAAGCCCCCTCCCCATCCCCCTATCGCTTTCGGGCGGGGTGGCCCGGGGTGCCGCGCAGGGTGCGAGGGAGGCAGAAGGCAGTCTGGGCCGTGCACCCGGGAGGTTAGCGGGCCCTGGAAACGACAGGGCCGTTTTTTTACGGGATCCGTTTTGCCTTTTTGTTGCCGGTTCCGACGCAATTTTTTTTGCCGGTTCCGTCGCCGTTCTTTTACGGGTTCCCGCTACGGTTCCAATCCTGGAGCCGTTTTTTTTGCTATTTATGGTCGCCGTTTTTTTCCCGTTTCCATGTTCAAGACACTTCTTCGGAAACGGTGAAAACACTGCCCTGCCGTTTCCGGGGCCCACTAGGCCCGGGAGTGCCTGCTCGGCGCGCGCGCGCGAGCGCGCGCGCGCGAACGGGCCCCCTCCTAGAGCGCTCCGAGCGGGCTTGGACCCCTGCGTGCAGTGTGCGGACGCCGGAAGGGGGGCTGGCGGGGCGGCGGGAGGCCCCAGAGCAGCCGGGCCGCTGCTTCTGCACACCCGCTCGGAGGGCGGAGGAAGAAGAGGAGGGGGAGGGGGGGGGGGTCGGGCACACGCTGGCGTGGACTGCACATCCGTGGATCTTCGGGGGCGGCCAAGAGGGGGAGGGGGGGGTGCAAATCACGGCCGGCGGCGTGTGCGCGGCCCAGGAGGGGGGGGAAGGGACGTCATGGAATGAGAAGAGGCGCCATGAAATCTGGGGAACTATCATGGCCCCCGCCATGAGATCCACCCCCCCCCTAGTCATCCCCCCCCTCTCTTCCGCCGCCGAGATCTGGCGAGCGGGCGCCGGGTCCACGGACCGGGTGAGGCATCCCACGAAACAGGAGGGCAAGGCCGCCTCATCTGGCGAAGGAGCGCGTCGAGTCGGTTTGGGAACGGGACCCCTTGCTAATCCACGCGCCTTCATGCATGTCCGCACATCCTCGAAGGAAGAGGAGCGATCCCAAGAACCCCCCCCCTGTATTGGCATCGTCTGTGCGTCCGCGTGCGCCCCACTCAGCAGTGCCAATCCCGAGCTCCACGCGACGACGTGGGAGAGGCCCTGAGCATCATCACCACCGCCGCTCCTTCTGAGGCATCTCCAGCCTTTTCGTCCTCCGCCGGCACACATCTCTGCTTTTAAACGCCAGTTACCCTTGACCTGCTCCACATCCCCCCTTTCTTGCCCCTCCTCTTGCCCCTCTTCCTGCACCTCCTCCTCATCCTGCTCCTCCTCGCCCACCTGGTACTCCTCCTCCCTCCCATGGCAAGGCCCATCCCGGGCCCAGCATTGGCCCCGCCAGGATCGGTGAGGTGGCGGCCTGGCGTCGTCCAACCGAAGACCTCGCCCCTCCCCCGCCTGCATGCTCCGCCCGCCTCGTCCTTGCGCCCACGAGCTCGAGCCACGACCGCGGCAGCGCGGCTCGCGAGCAGAGAAAGAGAGGGAGAGAGAGAGAGAGAGAGAGAGAGAGCGAGGCTGCGCGCAGCCAGTGAGGAGAACGCAGGGCACACCAACTGGCGGCATCCGGGCCGTGAGCAGCCGCACCTCGGCCATTCTCCTGCAGACTCCCCTCCGCATCCACCTCCTCCTGCCCCGCTCCCTCCTCGTCCTTCCCGTCGTCCCTCGCCTAGTGGTGCCCCATCCTCGTCTCTATCGCTTACCAAGGCGTCCAACCGATCGGGGTTGTGTCACACCTTGGCACCGAGAAACCTGGACCCCTCCTCGGTGGACCGGCGTTCCATCTGAAGACGTTTTTGCTGACGGGCCCAACGAGGCCAAAAATGGAACCCATAACATTCCGCCATGAGTTGTTCAATACGCGACGAGGACAAGGCGGGGATTGATCCATCACGCCACCTGCAGGTGGAGCGTTCTTCGGGGACCTCGGCAGGCGGTGGACACGGATGTAGTTGGCCCGACAGGGCCCGAATCTGCCTATGTCGAAGGCGTGCCCAGGTCCGCAACGAATGACTCCCTGGGCCGGCGGCGATGGATGAATCCCGGCCTCGGAATGGTTTGGCCGTTGCCCGCGAGGCGTCAAACCGCGGCGCAGGCCTCGATGTCGCGCCGCGGCAATGGGCCAGGTGGGCGCGCGAGGAAAGGGGGTGAGAGCGAGGGCGGAAGAGAGGAGGAGCAGGAAGCGGGGGAAGAGGTGGGGGCTTCGGTTTGATCACGCCCCTCCCCGAGGACGACAGCCGAGCGGCCCAGAGGTGAGGGGAAGGCCCCGTCAGACGACTACGCAGCCGTCAGGTGTCAGGTGCCACGACGACGACGCTGACACTGACGCTGACGCTGACGACGACGCTGACGACGACGACGACGACGACGACGACGTCGGCGACGACGACGACGACGACGACGACGACGACGACGACGACGACGACGACGACGACGGCGACGACGGCGACCGACGGCGACGACGACGACGGCGACCGACGGCGGCGGTAGCGGCGGCGACGGAGCCCCACCTTTGTCGATGATCGCGTCGTCGAAGCCCATGTTGAAGCGGTGGTGCTCCTGCCCAAGGGAGGAGGAGGAGGAGGAGGAGGAGGAGGAGGAGGAGGAGGAGGAGGACGAGGAGGAGGAGGAGGAGAGGAGAGAGAGGCCGGGGGCGTCGTCGAAGCCCATGTTGACGCGGTGGTGCTCCTGCCAAGGGCAAGGAGGGGAGGAGGCGGGAGGAGGAGGGAGGAGACGAGGATTACGAGGGAGGAATGCGGACAGGAGGGAGGAGGAGAGATGAGAGGAGAGAGAGGCCCGGGCGCGGCGTCCCTCGAGAGCGGCTGAGAGCGGAGACGCCGCCCGCATGGGAGGCCGATGGGGCCGGGACTGTCGAGGGACCGCGAAGCGCCGCGCCAGGAGAAGACAATCCACGTGGGCATCTGCGATGCTTCGGCGATGTGTCGGCGAGGCTTCGGCGCGCTGCGGCGATGCCGTCGGCGATGCGTCGGCGATGCGTCGGCGAATGCCTTCGGCGATGCCAGGCGATTCTCCATGCTGCTCCCTCCCCTCCCCCTGTCCCCCTGCTCCCCCGCCTTCTCCGCCTGGCCCCTGGCCTCCCAACCTCCCCCCCGTGTTTGGGGGGAGCTTGCCCCTCTAGGTCTCCAAACTCACCTCCTGCTCCTCCTCCGCCCGCTAGGGCTGCTCCTCCTCCTGACTGCCCGCCCTCCTAACCTCCTCCCTCCCCGTCCTCTCCTCCTCCTCCCTCCTCCTCCTCCCTCCTCCCTCCTCTTCTCATCCTCTTCCTCCTCCTCCTCCTCCTCCTCCTCCTCCTCCTCCTCCTCGCTCAGCCCGTCCCTTTTGCCTATGGTGGAAGACCTGGCGTTGCTTTGTGTTTACGCGCGGTCGCGTGCGAACGTGAATGTAATTGTGTGGCGTCCGTGATCAAGCTCCTCCCCATCGTAAGACGAAGGCAACATCGAGACAAAACCAGACCGACATGAATCGGAAATCTCTGAGAATCGGCCGGTTTGGAGCATGTATCGAGCGCCGCGGCCGTTTCAGAACGATCCGGAACTCACTGGGAACGTTCCGGAACGCTGTGGAAGGAATTGATCTCGAACCTAGGCAAATTCTAGGCCCGTCCGACATCGCCCACCCAAGGGGTTGCCTGCATGAGCCGCAGGTTCTCCAGGACCGGGTCCATGTGCCTCGCGATCACCTCGTCCAAGTCCTCGCCATCAGCAGCACAGGGCATGCAATCAGTCTTCGGCCAAATCATGAGAGAAGCCCCATGGGCGCGGAAGCTGCGCAAGCTGATGGTGCCAACGTTGGCTCCGAGAAAGCCAGGAAAGTGGCAGCATTGACTCAACCTGATCTGGCCAATCCCAGTGCGCACAACCAAACGCACCGTGCCCTTCGACCAGCTCCTGGGGAGCAAAACTGACATTCGAACTTATAGTTTAGCACTCCACTGATAGCTCCAAACATTATTCAATTGACCGTCGATCCTCACCCATTTCCTCCTGCTTGCATTCCTACTTCCTCCCTGTCCTCCTACGACTATCGTATGCGATTCAGCGAATGTGGAGAGGGGCAGGGAGGAGGGAGAGGGTGGGAACTGGCAGGAGGAGAGCAGATCCGCTGGAGGGCAGAGGATGCGATTTTCACGGTGGCCACTCAAAGGAAGGGGGGGTGAAGTGATATTGGAAAACAAAGAATGAACAAACAAAACATAAACTGTTGGCGCTCCGCGCCGATTTCTTGGATCTGCGCCGGACCTCCGTCCCTGGGGCGCGGAGCGCGGAGCGCGCCAGGGGCGGCGCCGGGGGCGCCGCCAGGGGGGCCTCCGGCGCGGATCCACGATACATCCGCGCGGAGCGCCACAAGTTCACGCTTATGGCGTTGCCACCTCTTCGAGATGCAGCGATATGGATGAAGCACTTGCTTTGATATGTGATATGGATGCAGTGATATGGATGCAGGGGCCCGAAGGGAGAAGGAGTCAGCATTTGCTTCTGCTCTAATGGGCTCGTCTTCCACCACCACCGCCACAAGTTCGAGGCGGGGAGGGAGGAGGAGGAGGAGGAGGAGGAGGAGGAGGAGGAGGAGGAGGAGGAGA